CCCCAGGATCATGACCTGAGCCGAAGGCAGACGCTTAACGACTGAGCTACCCGGGTGCCCCTATTTATTTATTTTAGAAAGAGCTTGTGTGCGTGCCAGTGCAGGGGAGGGGTGGGGGGAAGAGAGAGAATCTTAAGTGACTTCCCCCACCCGAACGTGGAGCCCAACTTGGGACTGGCTCTTGCAACCCTGAGGTCACGACCTGAGCTGAAAATAAAAGCCGGACACTTAACTAAGCCACCAGGCGCTGCTCAGTATCTCTGTCACTATAATTTCCTTGGAGTCCCTCCCGTGCCTCTGGTTTTCCACTTTCCCTTTCCTGGGGCATTTTACCTCGAGTTTTGCTTGGACTCTGCCAGAGTCCTGAGGCCGCAGCCCTTGGGGTGAAGCAGGCCCAGGGTTCAGGAGACTGCAGTCAGGAGCCACAGAACAATGAGAACGACCCCGTGCCCTTCCTGGGAGACCTGTTTCACAATGCCAAGGTACACTGCAGCCCCCAAATTAACAGTCCTCCGGGGTGCAGGCTCAGGGGGGCCCAAGGTTCCTCTAGGTCCTTCATGGGGGAGCTCGCCCAGTGACCTCCGTGTCCTGGTCCTTGGACAACTGGCTCCCTCTGCAGCCAGATGCAGTGACCCTCATCTACAACAGAGAGTTAGACGTCTGGTGGCAGGTCCTTGGGCATTGCCCAGTGACGTCATTGACCAGTGACCCATACCGCCCTCCTGCTTCTGCGCCACCTTGTGGGCCCGCCATGAACAAGCTTTACCTTCCAGGCCATCTAGATCCTGTTTCCTTGTTTCTGTGGCCATGTTTGTCACCAGCCAGCTCTCCATAGTCAGGGCGGCCACCCCCATGTGAGCACAGCCATGCGAGCGGTACTCCCTCCCTGTCTGGCCTGCGCATCCACTGAGGTGGATCAATCACACCTGGGAGCGCAGGTTCACGGTATGCCCTGCATGCACCACCGGTCTGCAGGGTGCTGTGACTGAGCTGAGGAACGACTGTCTTCTAGACTTCCTCAGAGAGTCTGTGGATGAATCATCTCACTGGTGGGTTCTGAGGAGTCTCATCTGCTCTGAGGTGGGAGCAGCACTGTGCTAACTCAGAGTCCTTAAGTCCTAAGTGCTCAGAATACACGATGAGTAAAGAAACCCGAGTCTACCGGAGAGCCCACTCACCATCCTTTTCCCCAACAGGTTGGCACCCCTGCTCTGTGGGATCTGCAGGTTACAAAACGCAGACTGTGAGCAAGTGTGGAGCAGGACAATGGTTTCTCCTGCTCTGTCCCCACAGGATGGACAAGTGCTCTCTCTGGGGGACAGCTCCCTGGGCCTTTGGGTGACGTCAGAGACAGAGGAGGAGGAACTGCTTTCCTGGGCACAGGGACAGAGTGTTGAGCAGGATGGGACGAGGGAGGGACCTGGCAGGGAGGACAGGCATCAGCAAGGAGGTGAACGCTGGGGCTGTCAGGCCCAATATTTAGTCCCAATTGTAGAGGGCCCGGGTTGCGGTGTGGTCCCCTCACCATCTACCCATCAGGCCAGCCTTGTTGGGGTGATAATGGGCAAGGAGGGAGAGGACATGGGAAGGCTGGCTGATGAGGGCCAGGCTGCAAAGAGAAACTTAGAAGGCACACAGCACGACTGGGACTTGACCTAGGCCAGCGGACCCACAGGGCTGGGGGTGGGGGGCCCAGGCCACGGCCAAATGCTGAATGAGGCAGGTGGGGACTGGGGCATCCAGGCAGGGCCACACAGGACGACGGTGATGACAGAGGGGTTGGACACGCAAACCATGACCGCATAATACAGCCACACTCACACCCCACACATCCGCTCACAACACACAACTCACACCCCACTGCTGACACACTCCACACTCACATTCTCTCTCACACACACACACAGCTCCCTCTGATACCTAAAACGCCCCCCTCCCAGGACCCCTGCAGCCGTGCGCCGGTCTTTGGGAAGCAGAAGTCTCCCTGGGAGGTCCGCAAGGTCCCCAGCACCCCTCAAGGGCCCGGGGACAGAGCCAGGGAGGGACTCCAGGCAGACCCCACCGGGCCCGCGTCCCACTGTGGATCCTGATCTCGCTGAGCGGAGCTCGGAGCTCGGGAGGGACTGACCCTCCAGGCCGGGGTCCCGCAGTCTCCGCCTTCTCAGGTTGAGAACCCCCACACCCCTCTGCTCCAGGACGCTTTCTGATGGGCTGCGCAACAGCCACTTCTGGTCACTTACATGAACTAAGTAAAACTAAAAGCAGGCATTCAGTCCTTGGCGGCACCAGCTACACGTCAATGGCCGCCGGCCCCGCGTGCTCGCGGACACCGCGTGGGACAGCGCGGGTGGGCACCTGCCCACGGTCCTTGCAGAGAAGGGCTGGGCCTTTCCATCCCAGGCCAAGCGAGCGCGCTAACTCTCCGCGTCCCTCCGGCCGCGGCTGGGGCGGGGCAGTGCGACCCCAGGCCCGGCGGGGCAGGGGTGCGCTCGG